TGGGCGGCTCGGCGGCTCGGCTGCTGGGCGGCTCGGCGGCTCGGCTGCTGGGCGGCTCGGTGGCTCGGCGGCTCAACTGCTGGGCGGCTTGGCGGCTCGGCTGTTGGGCGGCTCGGCGGCCCGGCGGCTCTGGTGCTGGGCGGCTCGGCGGCTCGGCTACTGGGCGCCCGGCGGACGGGCGGCTCGGTGGTTCTGCCGTTGGGCGGCTCGGTGGTGCTGGGTCAGGGCGGCGCGGCGGTCGGAGGTAGGGCGGCGGGTGGGCCGCAGGTAGGGCGGCGGGTGGGCCGCAGGTAGGGCGGCGAGTGGGCCGCAAATAGGGCGGCGGGTGAGCCGCAGGTAGGGCGGCGGGTGGGCCGCAGGTAGGCCGGCGGGTGGGCCGCAGGTAGGTCGGCGGGTGGGCCGTAGATAAGGCGGCGGGTGGGCCGCAGGTAGGCGGCGGTAGGGCCGCATGTAGGGCGGCGATAGGGCCGCAGGTAGGGGCGGCACGCGGCGCCGCTAAGGGAGGCGACGGGCCGTACGGCGCCGGGCCGGAACTGGCGGCGCGAGGGCCGATGCGGGCGGCGAGGGGCCGGGACAGGCGGCGCGGGGCCGGGACGGGCGGCGTGAGGGCGCCGTCGGGCCGGGACGGGCAGCGCGAGGGCGGCGCGAGGGCGGCGAAGGGTGGCGCCGGGCAGCGTAGGGCGGCGACGGGCCGCTAAGGCGTGACGGGCCGCACCGGGCGGCGCGACAGAAGGGAGAGGGCACGGGGCGCGACTCGGGCCTGAGCGGAGTGCGCTACGGGCAGAAAAAAAAGTTCGTAGTGGTGGGCCCTAGGAATCGTTCCCGCTAGGGAACCTGCTCGATACCATGAGAAGAAACGAGAATGGATGAACTATGAAATGAGTGAGTACAAGTATTAACCCTGATTGGGTTGTACCCCCTATGGGATACCCCACTATAGCCTACACAAATGTATAGCATTCTGACACCCACTGCTGCACTGAGCCGCCTCATGCTACCGTACCTCTTCCCTGCCTTTGCTGCATTTCCCACAGTCGCTGACCTCATTACGCACCTCCGCACTAGTGACACTCGCTACCGCGCTTCGCTTCCTGCTGAGTTCTGCGCCAAGAACCCCCACCCCCCATGTACATCACCCTCTACTACATAGTCACCCGGCTCCTTGACTCCCTTCGTGTAGTCCGGGACCACTTCCTCTCAGTTTGCCCCACCACTCTCACCGTTGACCTCCTCGAGAAGGCCCTCCTAGCAGTAGAGAAGAGCATAGTCGCTGTAGGAGCCTCTCGTGGTGACCCTCGCACCCCCATCTTTGAGGGGTGTTCCCCCTCCCCCCTTTTGCCCTCTGTTGCCTCTGCTGCTGCGGCCGACCTCGTTGGGCTTGAGTCGGTCCGTGCGGCGTCTACCCCTAGCGGGAGACGCCGCCCTGGCAAGGGCAAGGGGGGCAGGGGCGCTGGAGGAGCTAGCGGGGGCGGTGGAGGCGGCGGTGGAGGCGGCGGAGGGAGTGGGGGTGGCGGTGGGGATGGTGGCGAGGGTGGAGGTGTCGGTGGCGGCAGTGGAGGCGGCGGCGGCGGTGGCGGTGGGAGCAGAGGTGGCGGAGGTGGCGGCGGTGGAGGAGGCGGTGGCGGAGGAGGTGGAGCTGGTCGGGGTGGCGCTGCGCAGAGGGTCGGCTTCGGTGGTGGTCCGCACCAGCAGCATCAACAGCGCACTCGTGACATCCCCCCCCCTCAGCAGCTCCGTGAGTGGTACGCTGCACGCCAGCGGGATGGGGGTACTGGTCCGTGCACCTACGTCCTACGCACCGGCGACCGCACGGGTGAGCAGTGTGGGGGTGCGCACTCCACCCAGCGCTGCTTTGGCCGCCTGACGGACGCTTGGCATCACCAGTTCCCGGAGGCCACTGAGATCCCCCGCTGGGGTGAGCTGTCTAGGGCAGGAGTAGCTACCTTTGACCTTGACTTTGATGCTATTCTTGCTGCCATGTATGCTGTGACTATTAGTGATGAGGGTGACTGTTACCAGTGTTTTCCGCCCGACCCGGGCATTGAGACTGCTGCTCTAGGTACTGGTGAGGCTGCTGCTTTAGGTGCTAGCGAGGCTGCTGCTCTAGGTGCCAGTGCGTCTGCTTCCTCAGGTGTTGGTGAGTCTGCGCTCTCAGGTACCGCGTCGGCTTCGGCCTCCCTCACCTTCACCCTTGACTCGGAGGCTTCTCGCTCCTTCTTTCGAGACCGCACCACACTCACGCCGCTTGGTCGGCCAGTTGCAGTCTCTCTAGCAGACCCCTCTGGGGGTCCTGTCCTTGCTCACTTCTCCACTGTCCTCTCGTGTCTGGCGGCTCCCTCTGGCACCCTGTCTGGTCTCTACCTCCCCTCGTTCTCTACGAACTTGGTGAGTGGTGCTGACCTACAGGATGGGGGAGTTCACCAGTTCACTCCTGCGAGCCAGCGGGTGACCCACTTAACGGACGCTCGGACGGGCCGACACTTGGCCACGTTTACACGTCAGCCAGTGTCGAGCCTGTACAGACTGACCACTACGTCTCCTCTTGTCCCTGCGTCTGGTCAGGTAGCTGCGTCGGGTCAGGTGTTTGCTGCAGCGTCCAGGTCTGGTCCTGAGTCTGCCCCCTGCTCGTGTCGCCTCCTGTCTCACAAGACTCTCCTTTGGCACCACCGCCTTGGTCACCCCTCCCTGCTTCGTCTCCGAGGCATGGCCTCCCGTGTCCTTGTCTCTGGTCTTCCCCGGTCCCTCCCTCCCCTTCCTCCGGGGCCTGGCCCTACTTGCGTCCCCTGTGTCGAGGGGCGGCAGCGGGCTGCCCCTCACTCCTCCCAGTTTCCTCCGACAGAGGCTCCGCTGCAGACGCTTCACATGGACGTGTGGGGCCCGGCCCGCGTCCGTGGACAAGGTCACGAGCGCTACTTCCTGCTGGTGGTTGACGACTACTCGCGTTACACCACAGTCTTCCCCTTGCGCAGCAAGGGTGATGTCACTGAGGTGTTGATCGACTGGATCCGCGCAGCTCGTCTCCAGCTAAGGCAGAGCTTCAACTCGGACTTTCCTGTTTTGCGTCTGAACTCTGACAGAGGCGGAGAGTTCTCCTCTGGCCTTCTGCGAGCCTACTGTCGTGCACGAGGCATCCACCAGACCTTCACGCTTCCGGACTCTCCACAGCAAATTGGGATTGCTGAGCGCCGCATTGGCATGGTCATGGACGTCGCCCGTACGTCCATGATGCATGCGGCTGCCCCCCATTTTCTGTGGCCGTTTGCGGTTCGGTACGCGGCGCATCAGATCAACCTTCACCCCAGGGTCTCCATGCCGGAGACCTCCCCAGCTTTGCTGTGGACGAGGAAGGTTGGCGATGCGTCTGCGTTCCGTGTCTGGGGATCTCGGGCGTTTGTCCGCGACTTGTCTGCGGACAAGCTGTCCCCTCGTGCTGCTCCTTGCGTCTTCCTTGGCTTCCCCCCTGACGCGCCAGGGTGGCAGTTCTACCACCCCATCTCTCGCCGTGTACTGTCCTCTCAGGAAGGCACGCTTGACGAGTCGGTCCCCTACTACTGCCTCTTCCCCTACTGCACTCCGTCCCTCCCCCCGCCACAGTCCCTCTTCCTCTTCACTTGCCCTCTGTGACTGCCTCTAGCTTTGCATGTGCTTATGAACTTCTTATGTGACTGCTTGCTATGCTGATCATACCCCACTTTGACTATGGGGATGTGTCAGAATGCTATAATTGTCTAGTATGCAGTGGGGTACTCTATAGTGAGTACAACCCAATTTAGGGTTTGCTATATGTATCCTATGTACTGTTAGTGCATTCCCTCTTCTACTGTTGCTTCCTGCTTGCTATCTTGACAATATTTGGCGAAGCTAGAATGGTAACGGTAATGTGGTGAAAATGGGCTGCACTACGGGCCTAGCGCCGAGGCTGGGAATTGTCGAGGCGAAGGTTCGGAGCGCGGGTTACCAACCGAACCATGAGGTTGGAACGCGTCGTGAACAGTGGCAGGAACAGTGGTCGAGGTGAGTGTCGCGAGTGGTAACGATGCACTGTTGAGAGTTGTTGGAGGGAACAGTGATGTACGCGCTGAGCGGGACGCACAGTAAGGAAAAGGATTTTCCCTTACTGTTGTAAGGAGTTTTCTCACTATTCCTTACTGCGACTGTCAATATCGCGTACAGCAGCAGCCGTTGTTCGCCTGTTACTTCTAACGGGGCTTCGCCAACTTCGCGCGCACTGTCATACCAAACCTCGCACTGCTGGAGCAGCCGAATCGGCCTACGCTTGGGGACTAGCCCGAACCTCGCGCCAGCGTAGCACTAGCTAGCTCGCACGCACCGCGTTACCGTTTGCTTGTTTCGCCTTTAAGTATTCGCTCATGCCTTCGCTCATACTTGGTACTCATTGAACACTAAGTGCAATCCTCCCTACCTCATTGCACCCGTAATAACTATGCACAACAAATGCCCATCTTTTCCAGGTGCTTCTTTCGAGCGATGCTTTTCTCCGCGCCAAAAATGCGGATTTAGGGCGTGTACAGAGAGTGCGTCTGAATGCGGTTGAACAGGGTTTGACGCTGATCCAGAAAGTTCTATTCAACGAACAAAGTGGTTGGGTAGGGTTCTCGGCGATACGTACTTTCTTGGACCCGATGTCAGGTTGTACAATTCTTTTCAGTTCGTTATCATGGCTCAGGAGGGTTCCACACGGTGGAAACCGGTTCTTTGGGTTTACCGTTTTGCACCGTGCCGAAACAAAGTTTACTGCAGAGAGCGTACAAAAAGTTGTACACAGCACATCAGTACAGCACTACAGCACGGCCTGCACCAACTGCGGATATCAAACATGGCAAGCTCTTGCTTCCTTATGCACTAGGCAATAACGGACTGGAGCAGCGTAGTCTCGTACCTTCATCATCACTGTGCCAACCCCTCTCATGGAGCTGGGCCCGCGTCGCCACGCGCTCATTGTCGCGCGGGTAGCTCTCGCCCTCGCGTTGCTGCACGCCATGGCGGGGCCGTCACCGTTGAGAGAAAGCTTTGGGGGAGGAGGAAGCGGAGGAAGCGGAGGAAGCCGAGGAAGCGGAGCTGGTGAAGGGAGGATCTTGGCGGAGCGGAGCTATTCGCGCGGCAGTACTACTAGTACTACTAAAAGGCGTCGCACCGCGTATTCCCTGTTCGCCGCCGCGCAGATTACTGTAAACGAGGCAGACAGTAAGCCCATCTGCAACCTAGTACTCGTAGAAACACCGAGAACTAGTTCTAAATCCCGATTTTTTCTTAATCTGTCCTGGATGATATCTCTAAGTGAAATATTGTGAGACCCTATCCTGCTAAATGTTGTGAAAACCACGGCTGGGTCAAAGTTGGGTCAAATTGAAGCACGAGTTTAGGACACTGTCAGGACACTGTCCTTCCGAAATAGATGGTCCCAGACTACGAATACAGCAGGGACAGGCAATTTGGAGGACGAGAAGTAGCGATTGCGCGACGGTTTCCCGTGGCGGCCGAGCCAAGCCAGGATCTCAAGCGGTGTGTTCACCACAAGCCGAAACTGCGGTTGAGAATTCTCAAAGAATCGGATCTCAAGCGGCGGTTACCAAGCCTAGCTTGAGATCCGCCTAGCGGCGTTACTACCTTTTACCTTCTCCCTGCCACCCACGCAGCCCCTCCTTCGTCCCGGGCTCATTCCCCCCTCCTCCGCCTGTCCTACCGCGCCCCTTTCTCGACAACCGCGGACCATCCTCCCCCCCTTTCCTCTCTTTATCTCACTGTTCCCCCTCCTCGGGAACCCCGTGTCAATGGGCGCGCAGTGGCGGTGCTGGAGGAGCTCAAGGCGGAGTGGGGCGCGTTTCCGGGGAGTGCCACGTGGCAGAGGGGCAGAGAGTGCGCACGGATGGCGGGAGTGACGTGCGACCAGAATGGCAACGTGCAGAAGCTGTACGTGACCTGGCATGACCTGGCATGACGTGGCATGACCTGACATGGCATGGCATGACCTGACATGGCATGGCATGACCTGGCATGGGCGTGCAGTCACGACAATCCATGGCATCGCATGGGCTGACATGACATGGCATGAAGGTGCATGGCATGGCATGGCATGTCATGGCATGGCCTTGTATGGTCGTGCTCTGAAAACCGTGTTGCATGCATGCATTCATGCCATGTGTGTCCACGTTCTTACGAATTCACAGCCGACAGGGCGCTGCTTTCTTTCGAGCATCACAGCCCCACGTGCTGTAGAATCCTAACCAGCGTGCTGTATCACAGGCCTCTACTCTCTCCGTCCTACCCTTACTCCCCCCTCCCCTCCCCTCCCCTCCTGCCCCATTTCCCTCCTTTCCCCTACCCTTCGCCTCCCCCTTTTCCCCCTCACTTCCCCTGCCCCTTGGCCCCACTCCCTGCACTCCCCACACACCTCCCTACACCTCCCTCCCTCCCGTTCTCTCTCTCAACATCACCGCCGCGCTGGCCGTGCGCATGTGCTGTGGCCTGCGGTGCTGCGCTGTGCTGCTGGGCTCCACGCTCCCTCGCCTGCGTGTGCTGCACTGCGCTGGCTCTCTGTCTTCTCAACACGCGGTGCGCGGGCGGGCGCATGCATGCATGCGGACTGTCGCCGTGTCACGGGCAGCATGTTGACTCACAAGCAGCTCACCGGGTCACTGCCCACCTCCTTCGCCAACCTCTCCGCCCTTGAGCAATTGTGAGCACTCGCGTCCTAAAATCCATTTGTGAGCCCCCCCTCTCTTGACAGTCTAATTCTGAGGCGCCGCAGTAATTGGCCTCTCCACCTTCGAGCAACTGTGAACGCTCTCTTTTGACAGGAGAGTTCTCACACACTAGTTTCTCTCTCGCCCTCACTAGAGGCGGGAGGCGAGAGGCAGGACGTGCGCCATACCCCTTGAATGCTGCTCTGCTCTGTATGGCATCACTCACATCATCCATGTCTACTTGCGCCGTGCACCATGACTCCCTCCCTTCCATGCACTCGTCATGCATTGCTGCATGTGCATGTGTGTGTGTGTGTGCGCGTGCATGGCGAGCAGGGATTTGAGCAACAACAGGCTCTACGGCCCCATCCCCCTCTACCTCACCACACCGCCCAACTTAAAATTGCTGTGAGACCTTCTCCTTCTTCCTCTATTCTCTTCCCACTCCCGTTCTCACTCTTGTTCTCAGTTTCCCATTTCTCTTGGCCTTATTTTTCCGCAGCTTTTTAATAAGGGAGCTGTATTCCTGGGAAACACGGCAAGAGGAATACAGGGCAGGAAAAAAAGATACAGGGCAGGAAAAAGAGAGGCTAGAGATTAGGTGAATGTGCATTGGGAAAACTTTTGAGACGCTCAGAAGGTCTTTGTAAGAGTGGGAAGGAGTGTGAGCGTTGGAGTGTACGGGTGTGGAGGAGGCGAGAGGTGGGAGCTGGAACGGAAACAAAGTCAGCCAGTGGGAAGGGAAGAAGAGGCAAGGAAAGCTTATTTATGGTGTTTGCGTAAAGCTCGGAAGGGTGGAAGGAGAAGAAGTTAGGTATCAGCAATCATTGTTTTCCTGCTCTGCTCTGCTTTCGCTTGTTCCACGTCCCCTTCCCTCTAGCTGTCCCCTCCTTCACCTCCTCCCCTCCTTCACCTCCTCCCCTCCTTCACCTCCTCCCCCTCTTCACCTCCTCCCCTCCCCTGCCCTCATCCCCTCCCTATCTCCCCTGCCCGCCCCCCCAATCCCACCAGCAACCTACGCAACAACCAGCTGTCCGGCTTTCTCCCGTCCGACTGGTCACCATCCCTCGCCACGCTGCTCCTAGACAGCAACTACCTCTACGGCCAACCCGCGCTCTCCTCCTGCCCCGCCACCCTCTCCCTCCGCTCCAACTGCCTCTCCTACCCCGCCCCCTCCTCACCCCCCTCCTCCTCCTTCCGCTGCGCTCGCCACCCCCAGCGTCCCTCCGCCGCCTGCCTCGCCTTCTGCGGCCTCATCTCCCCGGATCAAAAGCCTTGCTCGGGCGTGGGTACATGCCGGCTGGACAAGGCAGGGAAGCCTATATGTGTGTGCGACGAGGGGTATGTGAACCGTGCTTCACCGGGGTCCTGTGTGCCGGAGGCGCAGACTGCGTCCTTCTCGCTCTCGCTCGCCGACTCGCCCCCTGTGCACCTCAAAGGCTCTGCCATCTTCTCAGGAAAACTGACTGCTGACACTCCTGCAGTTGCTGGTGTTGCATGTGTTGCAGCGGTTGGTGGTGATGCAGGGGTTACTGGGGTGGTGCCTCGAGAAACAGCAAATAATCCTGGTGTGGTTTCCACGTTTGATGTGCCGCTGCCTGTCAGCCCCTTGCGGCAGCTGCTGGTGAGCCCGGGTGTGCGCGGAGCGTGGGGCGCCATGACGCTGCTGCCGCTCGTCACGCTCTTCACCTTCTCCACCCCGCAGGACCCCTGCGGCCGCCAGCTCGCCTTCAACTTCTCCTTCGCCTTCTCCATGTCTCCCGAGGTCACAAAGCTCAACCCCCCCCGCTCTATCTCCTCCTCTTCCTCCTCCTCTTCCTCCTTAGCTTCGTCGCCCTTCCTCTCCTCCACTGAAGCTGTAAGCACGGCGGGCAGGCAGGCGGCAGCAGCAGGGGCAAGGCCAGGAGCAGGAGCAGCAGGGGACGGGCTAGCCTTTGTGATAAGTGCAAATGAGCCGACAGGGGGGCCAGGCATGGGGTACAAGGGCATGGGCAAGAGGAGCGTGGCAGTGGAGCTAGACACATGGTTTGATGCCAAGAGCGGTGATCCGGATAGCAACCACGTAGGGATCAACGTGGGGGGGAACAGCCGCTCGATTGCCACAGCTTCTGTTGGCGCCTTACTTCTCAACAGCGGCGATCCGCGATACATTTGGATCGTGTACGATCCTCCTGCTCCTGTTGGCGGTGGTGGGAGCAGTGGAGGAGGAGGAGGAGGAGGAGGAGGAGGAGGAGGAGGAGGAGGAGGAGGAGGAGGAGGAGGAGGAGGAGGAGGAGGAGGAGGAGGAGGAGGAGGAGGAGGAGGAGGAGGAGGAGGAGGAGGGGGAGGGCAGGAGGGGAGGCTGCGGGTGTTTGTGGCAGCAATGAAGGTGCAGCCAAGGCGAGCGTTGTTGGATGTGCCTCTCTCGCTCTGCTCTGTGATCAAGCCGTCGCCGACACAGCCCTCGGTGTTCCTCTCCTTGTCTGCATCATCCTCCTCTTCCTCCCCCGCGCAGGCACACCGCGTGCAGTGGTGGGAACTGCAGACAGGTGTGTGTGTGTGTGTGTGGGGAGGGGCGGGGGGGGGGGGGGTTGTTGGGGGGGGGGGTGTGCATGCGTGCATGCACGCGCGCGATCGCGTGTGCTGTATGGAAGAGTGTGACTGCGGGTGGGTGAGTGCTTCCATAAAGCACTCTTTGCGGGTGGATGCATGCATCGATGACTAAGTCGCAGTATGCCCTTTCCTGCACAGCACTCTCTGCAAACGGCTCTCTCTCCACCTCTCTCCACCTCTTTCCACCTCTCTCGTCCTCTCCCACCAACCAGAACACCCCTGCACAAACTCTTCTCCCATTGCTCCACCACCCCACCAGGCCCATCGGACCCTTGCTTCGGTGTGTCTCGCCTGTCCCCTACCAGCGTCTACTGCCGCTCCGACGTCTCCTCCTGCCCCATTGGAACCACAGGCTCTGCCACTGGGGGGGTTGCTGCTGCTGCTGCTGCTGGAGGCAATGGTGGGCTCATTCCAAATCAGTTCGCCCCGGGAGAAGAACAGGGAGGAGGGGGCGGAACAGGAGGAGGGGGGCAGGAGCAGGGTGGGATGACTGGAGGCTGTGAAATTGGTGAGTTGGAGGGAGCGTGGCATCAACCATGGGCCATGGAGCACGAAGGGCATTTGGCATGCAGCAACTGGCATGGGGCATTTGGCATGCAGCAACTGGCATGGGGCATTTGGCATGCAGCAACTGGCATGGGGCATTTGACATGCAGCAATGTGCTGCACTGCATTGCTGTCTCATGCATGCTCCCCTCCCCCCTCTCCCCCATTCCCCATGCTGCAATGCCCTGTCGCGTCTAATCATTGTCGTAAGGCCTTGCTCACCCATGGTGACAAACCCCAACATTGTCTTCCCACCTGACTCTGTTGACAACTGGGTGCATGTGCACGTGTGCTCGTGTGTGCGAGTGTGTGAGTGCGCATGTGCGTGTGTGCGCGTGCATGTGCGTTTGTGCGAGTGTGTGAGTGTGCGTGTGTGCGCGTGTGTGCATGTGCATGTGCGTGTGTGCGCGTGTGTGCATGTGTGTGTGTGCGCGTGTGTGTGCGCGTGTGTGCATGTGCGTGTGTGCGCGTGTGTGCATGTGCGTGTGTGCGTGTGCATGTGCGTGTGTGCGCGTGTGTGCATGTGCGTGTGTGCGCGTGTGTGCATGTGCGTGTGTGCGCGTGTGTGCATGTGCGTGTGTGCGCGTGTGTGCATGTGCGTGTGTGCGCGTGTGTGCATGTGCGTGTGTGCGCGTGTGTGCATGTGCGTGTGTGCGCGTGTGTGCATGTGCGTGTGTGCGCGTGTGTGCATGTGCGTGTGTGCGCGTGTGTGCATGTGCGTGTGTGCGCGTGTGTGCATGTGTGCATGGGTGTGTGTGCAGATGCATGTGGCGTGGGTGACAAGAATCCATGCGGCGTGGGCACGTGTGTGAATGACGGCTACGGTGCATACACCTGTGTGTGCCCACCCAACTTCTATCTCGGCACCACTGAATTCGGTGCACCCTCCTGCGCCCCCGGTCAGTACCCTACCCCCCATCCCGTCCCCCTTCCCTTCCTCACTCCTCTCCTGCTTACCACGCCCCGCTTCTTGCTTCCTGCTGCAGCAAACATGTGCTGTTGCCCTCCTTAGTCTCAGGTTCTTTAATCCCTTCCGTTTTTCCCCAAAGTGTCTCTGTATTTTGCCACACTTCTTCCTGACCAGCCACCAGTAGCAGTTCCGCCCAGTGCTGCTGCTTGAGTTCCTGAGAGCCACTCGTTTGAGCAATGTAAAAGTGGCGCAATATCCAACACCATATAAACCCCCCCACATCTCACACCCCCCATCCCACATCCCACACCCTCCATGACACATCCCACAATCCCCATCCCACATCCCACACCCTCCATGACACATCCCACACCCCCCATTCCGCACCCCCCATCCCACGCTCCCCCAGGCGATAGTGAGAACTTTTTCACAGTGAATGTGAGCACCTTGTGGTGCTACCACGTGCACCCCCTCTTTGGCCTCACGCTCGCCCAGTTCCTCGAACAGAACGAGGTGCGTGCGGGAAGGGAGCGGGAGCTGCAGGGATGGGGTGGGTTGGGATGGGATGGAATGGAATGGGATGGGATGGGATGGGATGGGATGGGATGGGATGGGATGGGATGGGATGGGATGGGATGGGATGGGATGGGATGGGATGGGATGGGATGGGATGGGATGGGATGGGATGTGATGGGATGGGGTATGGGATGAGATGAGGTGGGATGAGATGAGGATGGGATGGGATGGGATGGGATGAGAGCTTTATTGCATCGCATGGGCAGAGACGGGTATAAAGTGATCAGGATATAGTCCATTCGAGAGTTGGGGGAGGAAGGGGGAGGAGGAGGAGGAGGGGTGGGTGATAGTTGCTCATCTGGCTGTTTCCGTGCCCTGCCATACCCCGACCCTATCTGACCCCTACCTCTACCCATCAGCCTCCAGTGTGCCGTGCCTTTCCCCACTTCCCCCCATCCCCACTGCTCTGTGGCAAGCATCGTTTTTCAAGGCGCCTCAAAGAATAAGACAGTTCAATGCGCCTCTCCCTCAGTGCCCCTCGTCCACTGAGTACATATGCTGCTGTGTGACAAGCCTCTTCCTTTCAATATCCACTTTGCAGGCACGTGGACTCCAGAATTTTGAGTTGCCTCAGGGTTCTCCTCTCCTCTCCTCTCCTCTCCCTCACTGGTCCCCCCTCGACCAGTTGCCGTTGCTGGAAAATGAGCACCTTGTTTTGACCATCCCCTTGTTTCGACCGCCTCAGAAACACCCCTGCTCCCACCGCGACTCTCCCCCACTGTCCCCCCCGGTCAACCAAGTGCAGTTGCTGGCGTGTGACAAGCCCATTCCTGTGGACACTGTTGTCAACGTGAAGCCCAGCCTTGACTATCAGCCCTGCTCCGTCTTCTACACCACTGTGCAGGTGGGCTGCACGTGCTGGTGTCAGGTGTAATTTCAACTGAACCACTGTCCACACTACTGTCCGCACCATGTGTAGTCACATCCCATGCTCTTTTCTGCTCACCCGCCGCCCTCCCATGCTGATTCTTCCTCCTGCTCTCCTCCTTCCCCTCCCCTCCCCTCGGCCCTCCGCCCCACCCTCCCCCCCCTTGCCACCCGGTTTTCATTGCGTCTTCCTGTTCTCCCATCTCCCAGTTTTCCTTCGTTTTCTCTCACTTGCTTTCGTGCCTTGCTCACGCACTTGTGGGCCTGCACGTGTGTTTGTGGCCTGCGCACATGTGCAATCCTCGCATTCTCCTTTCGTGTCATCCTCTTTTGCATCCCCCACTTCATCACTTCCCCTCTTCTTCCCCCCACTCTTCTTCCCCTTCTTCACCTAACCGCCCTTTCTCTCCGCCTCTTTCCCCATCCTCACCTCCTCTCTGCTCCCCTTCCTTCTCCCCACTCCACCTCTCCCCTGCCCCAGTGCTTCCAATTCCCAGCAGCCTCAAACCTCCCCTCCCTCCCAACTCCTCCTTCACTCCTCAACCCGCTCCTTCCCTTCTCCATCCTCCCCCACCCCCATTACCTCTTCCTCCCCTCATCAACCCCACCAGAACGACACATGCGAGTCCATCGCCGCCCTCTTCTCTCTCACCGCCTCCTGCCCGGACCCCTCCCAGCCCTGCACCACCGACCTCCTCCGCCTCAACCCGGGCCTCGACTGCTCCATCACCGCAGCAACAACCACCACAACAACACCAACAACACCTCTAGGCGGCAGCAGCAGCAGTGAGCCTGACAAGTCGCTACCCACGGGTTTGTCCATCTGTGTGGAGAGGGCCACAGCACTGCTGGCCGTGTGTGGTGAAACGGTGACCGTGGAGAGCGTGGGGAATGCGACGTGTGCGGCGGTGCTGGCGGGGATGAAGCCGCCGCTGAGTGCGCTGGAGCTCTACCGCATGAACCCCGGCATCTACTGCCACCGCCTGCTGCCGCCCTCCATTGAATCGGGCTTCCCGGGCTCCGAGGTACAAGGGGTGGGGTGTATGCGCGGTGTGGCACCGTTGGGTTCGAGGCATGTGGGATGGGGTGGAGAGGGGGGTGTGATGGTGAAGTGGTCGGGGGTCCACAATTTGGCATGTATTCGAGCATGTATCAGACGTTGATCAGTTCTCTGACCCCATTCCCCAAACCCTTGTCCCCTGGTTGGACTCGTATTGCTATTGCAGATCTGTGTGGGGATCAGCATGAGCATGACAATGGGCTCATGTCCACGGTCCGAGGTGTACCTTGCAACAGATAATGATAGGTGCAGTGCCATTCAGTTCCGATTCTTCAAGGGCATTAAGAGCTGTTACAAGAGAATCAACGGCTATGATTGCCTAGATAGATTGAATAGGGGGACACGAATTTGTTTACCAAATCCCGTCAAGATCAGCCAAGGGAAATGCTCAATCTAGAATGCAGAAATAAATATGGTTGACGCGTGTTGCTGCTTCTTTAGTCTCCCTCGTCATAGCCATGTGTGCAAGGCACGATGTTTATATACACCACAGAGTGATAGCATGTAAGTTTGTTTGTGCAAGGTTTCTTTTGGTTTCTTTTTTAATTTCCCCCATAGTCAATCTTCTGAACCATTGTAAGCTTGCAGGGAAAACTGTGGCAAAGCACCATTCGCGGAGGAAAGGAGGACAGCGTGGAACTAGTGTACTGCAGTGTTTGAAATGACAGTTCTCGGCTGGCAGAATCGAGGGATTGGCAGCATCCTCTCCTCCGCGCAGACTGCTCTTGGCAGCATTACCTTTCACCCTCTTTCGTGCTAGGGTGGCTTCGGGTGCTAGATTAGGGCGGGTCAAACATTGCACGTTTTCGCAGAAAACCCTACCCAATCGTCTCGTGTTTAAAGAAGACCGCTCTGGATCAAGCCTCAACCTCTTTGAACCGCAATCGGACGTACTCTTTTGACCCGCCCTTAGCGCGGTTTGTACAACTTTCGTCTGAATGCGGCTAGGTGAGGTGAATTACGTTATGATACAGTCTGTTTGCGTATAGGAATGGTTGAGAAGGGTATTCAGCATTCACGAAAATCTCATGCGCTTTTGCCCATAAGTTCAAAGAGGGTTGTCGATGAATGTCGACCCTCGGATCAACGGTTCCAACCGTCAGGATTCACCGACATCCCTCGGTCTTCTCGGTCTCACCCTTGTCTCCGCTTGAAGAACCCTACCCCGGGGACATCCTTGAGGGGGGGTGTTGTGCAGAAAATATGTCCCAGAGGGTAGATTCTCACCTGTGGTCTTAGAGGTTGTGGGTTCAATTCTCAGTAGCTGCAGGTTCCCTTCTCATTATGCTCCACATTACATGTCCACACTCTACCACACTCCACCACAGTGAAGTGTGGTCACAGTTGGCATTGCCACCTGTCCACTCATCCCACACTCACCTTGCTGGCCTCTATGATGTGCCATATGCTGTCATGTGGGCTGTTGTTCCAGCCTGGCCCACATGTGCAACATGTGGCCTCACTTGCTAGCTTGGCAAGGTTGGCTAGCCTAGCCCTCAGCATTGAGGTGCTGCAGCTAGCCTCAAGAGTTCAGCCACATATATGTGGCTTCCCACTTCACTAGGAATCATCCTTGACAAGGACCCTGCTCTAGTCTTTAAGACTTGTACCATTTTCTTGCTAAGGAGATTTCTTCTTCCTATCGTGCCCTAAGTTCACCGATCCACTTTCTTCATGCTATCAGAGCTAGGCTTCTAGCTTTGTGAACGTCGCACACTTGATGGCTCAAGTTGAGACGCCTCTCGGTCGGCACACCCTTCCTATCTTGGAACCGGATGGTTCCAACTTCATTCCATGGAAGAAAAAGATATGCTACATCTTTAATGTCCTTGGGCTGATCTCCTTTCTTGGAGATCCCAAGGTTGCTTCCCGCCCTTCCATTTCCTCCTCCACAACCAGCAGTGGAGATGCTACTGAAGGCAACAATGGTGCAGCCCCTAAAACAGCCCACTCGATTGCGTCGCTGCCGGATGAAGAAAAAGAGGAGCATGCGTACTATCTTCTCATGTCAGCCGTCCATCCTCAGCTCTCGCTCACACTTGCTCAAGCCAACACGACGAAGGACATGTGGGGATGCATCATGGCGCGGTTTGACTGCATGGGTAACCATGCACAAGTGGCTCTCCTCCGAGATCTCATCACTACACGGATGGACCCAACAATGAGTCTTCGCTCCTACTTCGATCGAGTTGGAAATCTTACGCACCAACTCAAATCTGCCGGCTTCGAGCTACCATCTTGGGTGGTGGTAATCTCCATCATTCTCAATCTGCCGGACTCCTTCAAGACTCTCACAGAAACTATTTGCACCGTGAAAGACATCAAGTCTATGACGGTTGAATACTTGCAGTCACGTCTACTCGATGCCGATTGGGAGCGGTCACAATCTGGTACAAGCCGCAACATGGAAGGTGCATACAACCTCCATTCCCAGCCCTCCCACCCTATTCGCTCCGGTTCCCGCCAGTCCCCTACTTGCCGCTACTGCAAGAAAACCGGACACACTATTGACGAATGCTTCAAGTTGAAGAAGAAGAAAGAGATCGAAGAAAGCTCTCGATGGGAGAAATGTGTCATCCAGCCTTCGGTGCATGTGTCAACAAGCTCCTCCGCCGACATCCCTTTCGACCTCCACAACACCTACTGCCCCATCAGCCTCTCAGTCCGTACCTGATTCCCGGTACGTTGACATTGCTTTCAGCACCAGCCACGGCTCCATCCTCCCCACCTGGACTCCTCTCGTCGCTACTCTCTTCATCTTCACCATCCTCCTCCTCCTCCTCCTCCTCTTCCCTTATGGTGCTCCCTACGCATCGGCATTCACGGCCTCCTCATCAAACCTGGTCCGGACGTCTTCCTGGCTGGTGGACAGCGGCGCATCTTCCCATATCTGCTCCGATCGCTCGCTGTTTTCATCTCTCCAGCAGCCAACTGATGATATTATCGTTCGCTTTGGTGGCGGAGAGACTCACAAGGTCTTGGGAGTCGGCACGGTGGTGGCTACTCTTCGTTCCCAAACCTCGGAAACCACCATGCAGCTAGACAACGTTCTGTTTCTCCCTTCATCGGTTCACAATCTGCTCTCAGTTCGTGCACTTGGAGCTGCCGGCATTGCCGTTTCCTTCCCCATTGCTGGGCGGGTTGAGCTCAAGACTGATGAGGCTCTTATTGGCGAGGGCTTTACCCGCAACAATCTGTTTTATCTTCAGCTGCATCATGGGAGTAGTGCCGCCCCCCCCATCAACCCATCGGCATGTCCAGTCTCCACCACCTCCTCCTCATACCTTTGGCATCGCCGTTTCGGGCATCTTAACATGCGGGACTTGTCAACACTTCATCGGCAGCAGCTGGTCACCGGTCTTAACCTCTCCTCCTCCTCAATTCCTCAATGCATATCGTGCTATCGTGGGAAACAAACGCGTCAACCATTTGGCGTGTCCCATTCTCGCACCACAGCACCGCTCCAACTCATTCATTCGGATATTGCTGGACCGTTTTCATATGGAACTACCATTGGAGGCGCTCGCTACCTTCTCACCTTCATCGACGACTATTCCCGCCACATTACCGTGTATCTCCTACGCCATCGTTCAGAGGCATTGTCGTGCTTCAAAGATTACGTCACTCGGGTGCACAATATGCATTCCCCAAGGACCATCAAAGCGTTTCGCTCCGATGGTGCCTTGGAGTTCAATTCCGAGGCCTTCACTTCATTCCTTAAAGCTCATGGCATCGCTCAACACCGCTCTACGCCGTACACACCCGAACAAAATGGAGTTGCTGAACGCGCCAATCGGACTATACTTGAGATGGTCCGTTCCATGCTTCATGACGCACACATGGACAAAGGATGGTGGGGTGAAGCCGCTCTCACTGCTGCCTATCTCCGAAATCATGCTATTAGTCGGGGTGGTTCAGCTTCCAAGACTCCCATAGAACTATGGACCGGTGCACGTCCGGACGTATCACACCTCCGCATCTTCGGTTCACCCGTTTCAGTCCTCGTTCCTCCGCAACACCGCTCCAAACTCGACGACCGAAGCACGGCCGGCGTCATGGTTGGGTATGGTCATCTTGACGGCACCAAAGCTTATCGCATCTATATCCCAACTCAGCACCGTGTCACACTTTCTCGTGATGTCATCTTCATGGAGCCCTCTTCGCCACCTTCGGATGACCCTCGAGAACCTCCATCGTCATCTCCACCACCCATATCATCCTCTCCGCCTCCTCCTCCACCCCCTTCCCTCTCAGACCCAACCTCCCCTCCCTCTCGTTCACCTCCCATGACCTCTTCCACCACCCTCCTCCCACCATCTCCAAATCTGCTAGCACCAGCAACCTCTTCTCCTCCTTTGTTTTCAAACCTTCCCCTGCCCTCGACGCCGCAAGACTTCCGCCTTCCATCCCTCTCCTCTCCTTCTTCAGCTCGTCCTCCCCCTTGCACCTCTAGTTCCTCACCACCATCCCCTTCAGCTCCTTCCAATCCTTCACTTTTCTCACTGCTCAAGGTCCTACCCTCTCCTTCTGAACCCATTGACTTCACCCTTCCTCCTCTTTCCAAGACCTCCGCTAATGCCGCCCTTCATCATCATTACGAACCTCAAAACATTCATGAGGCCCGCACCGGCCCTGATGCTGCTGAATGGATCAAGGCTGCTGATGCGGAACTCGCTGCCCTGCACGCTAATGACACTTACAGGGTTGTTCCTCGACCACCCAAGTGCAAGCCGATTCCATGCAAATGGATTTTTAAGGTCAAGGAGCATGCTGATGGTTCTATTGAACGCCGCAAGGCCCGCCTTGTTGTCAAAGGTTTCAAACAACGCGACGGTGTTGATTTCCATGACACCTTTGCTCCTACTGTTCGCTTCGCCACCCTCCGCCTCTTCCTCACCATTGCTGCCGCTTTGGATCTGGAAGTCCATCAGCTGGACATTTCCAACACCTTCCTCAACGGCACTCTTGATGAAATTCTCTACACGATGCAGCGTCCCGGTTATGAGCTTCCGGCGGTCCATGGTGTTGAGCAAGTTTGTCTCTTGCACAAACCGTTGTACGGGTTGAAGCAAGCGCCGCGGTGCTGGTACCGCAAACTTCGTGAAGAGCTTGTTGCATTTCACCTTTTTGCTGCCCGTGCGGACCCCGGCCTCTTCATTGCTACTCCACAATCTCCTTATCGGCCTACAGCTGCATCTTTCTTCATGCTTCTCGTCTATGTTGACGACCTCATCATTCTTTCCTCCTCCTCTTCTCTTCTCTCCTCATTCAAGCGTGCCCTTTCATCTCGCTTCAAGCTTCGTGACCTCGGTCCTCTTTCGTACTACCTTGGCTTTCACATCACTCGTGATCGGACCTCCCGCACTCTCCACCTTCATCAATCCAAATTCATCACCTCCATCTTAGACACCTACTCATTCACACCACTTAACCCTGCTGCCACCCCCATGGACACCAAGTTTCAGCCGCCCGTGACTTCCTCACCACACTCCTCCTTTCCTTACACCTCGTTTGTCGGATCCATCATGTATGCCATGGTGGGTTCCCGTCCCGACCTCGCATATAGCGCTGGAGTTCTTG